TGTAGGCACTGGCAGTCGCCCGCCAAGTCATTTCCAAATGCCCAGGCAGGGACGGCCCTGTTCCAGAAGAATGACAAAGTTTGTCGCGGGCGAGCAAGGTGGGACTCCTGGCAGGGGTTCGTGTAGGAAGCCCGCCCTCCGCTCGCTCCAGCTGAATTTCCCACCCTAGCCCGCGGCGCCGCCGGGCGCAGCGTACCTGGAGTGGCACCCGGCGCCCGTCTGGAGAGAGCTGTGGAACCGGGGATGTAGGGCGTCCGGCCTGGCCCGCCCCCCCCACCCGCCCCAGACCCCGGCCACCCAATGTGTGCCTTATACGGGCTTAGGCTGAACTGCCTGGGAGGGAGTGTGGCCCCGGGCGCAAACGGGCGCGCGCCCAGTGGCCTCAGCGCGAGACCAGGGGCCCAGGCGCCCAGCCTAGCCTGCTCCGGAGGCTCCGGGTTCGAAGCAGCATCGTTGGCCTAGAAGATACTAGGATGTTCAGGACAGCGGTTCTGATGGAAGATTTTTTTGAAATTCCCGGAGTGTCCAGCGACTTGGAAAATAAACGAACCTAAGGTGGGCTCCGAATTTCATCTGCGCTTGCTGTCATTTTTCGGGTGCCCCTCCTCTCCCCTCACCACACGCGCCCCAGTTCCAAAAGAGAATCCTAAAGACAAGCGAACGGGAACCCTGAACCCTCCTTCCCCTGTCCCCCAACCCACGCCAGTCAAGGAAAATAAATATAAACTCCGGTAGTTAAGGCGGGGACATTCAGGGGCCCTCATCCCCCCACACAGGCTCGAACACACCCCACAACCACTTACGCAGAAGCCCCCCCACACTCGCCCCCCTCCCCCACCCGGCTGCGTCCCACCCCCTTCCCGGGGAGGGGAGGGACTGGGAACCCGATACTAGGGCTCCAAACCCTAAGCGTTTCCCCATCAATAATGTTGATACCTTCGATGTGCGTCCTCCCCCGCCCTTCGGGTGCCGCTACTGCCTTTCTGCCGTTTTGGGCTCGGCTTAAGAAAACGAAACCTCTTCTACTGCCCTTCTGGCCCCGGCCGGGGTCCAGCCTGGCCTGGGGCAGTCGGCTGAGCCGACCTGGGCACGGGCGGAGCACTGGAGGAGACCCCCAGGTCTGGGCAAGGTGCTCAGCCCACGCTCGCGCAACAGAAAGGAAGGTCCAGGACTCGGCCAAGGCCTCATCCCACTCTCCTTCCCAGACCCGAGGTCACTTTTACGGGAAGATACTTTTACAGGAAGAAGAACCAAGTCTCCGAATGGGGAGCCTCAACACGCTCTACCCTCCTCGGGAGAGGGAATAGAGCAACGGGGCTCAGAAACCTTTCTCTGAGAATGGGGTGGTGGTCCACGACCTTTGGGCAGAGCCTTCTGCCCCGAGAACACTCTTCAGTCTTAAGGAAAACTGAGGCAACACTGTGCTAGAAACACAGGCTTCACAACCCCCTGGGCGGGGTTTCAAAAGTCGCTATGTGCTTCTCCCTGTTATGGTCTCTCCCCACTCTCGAGGTCACGACCTGGGCACAGCCCCTGCCTCACTTCGGGCTTACCCCATTTCCTATCATAGATCAGTGCCTAGGGCTTCTCAGGAACGGATCTCTCCCAGTCCCCACCCGGGCCTGGAGTGGTGCAATCCTGTGTGGAGCGGGTCAGGGCTCTAGGTTGAGAGATGGGCATCAGCGCTGGCAACTCACTCGTATTCGCCTCTTTCAATTCACTCAAAAAAGGAAAATGAAGCCCCACTATGTATGTATTTTGATCACGGCATATGGCGCCTCGCGGACTCTGGAAGCCAGCGTCAGCGAATCTTGGAACTCTGGCCCTAGACAATGGTCAGTAATTGATGTACCGTCAACAGTTAAGTCCAGTTCTCTTCTCTCAGCCCTACTGACCATCCCCTCTCCTCCCATCCACCCCTCCCACCACCACCACCTCTCCTCTTCTCCCAGAGCCACCGAGGGAAAGAAAACAAACAAATTAACCGGGGACGCCACTCGCAGAGTTAGACCTTTGAGCACAAAAAAGAACGAAAAAAGTTATTAAAGTTTGGAAAAGCCCCTCCCCCCCCCCAAATTAATTCCTCCCTGCTTGTCCATTTTTAATTAAATGCCAAAGAGCTGCTTTTGTGCGCGCATTTTGTTTGGTGTTTGGGCGGGTGTGGTTTTTTTTTGAAAGGGAGGGGGGAAGTTAAAAAACACCCTAAACATCCCACTGACACATAGAGCAAGCCAGGAGTATGTGTGAAGCTATTCCCCGGAGCTTCCCGCCGCATCTGCCCACCACGCGGGCTGAAGGGTTTGCGGGACGACTCCCTCAGCTCCGTTCCCTGTAGCAGAAGGTATTCCAGAGGCCCGGACTTTCCAGAAGCCACGTTTGTAGAAGACAGATGCGGGTGGTTTCAAAACCGGAGCTCTTCGGGGAAGCGATTGTGCATGTGCACGGACGCATTCGAGTAACAGAAGGGCACTGACTGGCGAGTTTGCGAGCACGCCCGTCTGTGGGGTGCAGTACAGGATTTACTTGTGCTTCCGTACTTGTTCCCGGGGGGTCTGGGGGAAGCGAGCTGCTCACACCCCAGGAGCGTGCAGATCCATCTTTGCCGAGGGATCTCTTTAAATATTCAGTGAGAAATAATGGCATTTGAAGCACCACCTATGGAAACATTATTATCTTCATTCTTCAACATCAACCGCACTGATAGCTTCGTTTGTCTTTTTATCAAAATCTACTGTACCCAACAGGACCTGGGGAGAAAGAGAAGGGAGGCAGAGGGTGTGTGTGTGATGTCAGGGACCAAGCCAGGGCAGAGGAGAGGGATAATAAAAGGCGAAGAGAAGAGAAAAGATTGACCAGAAGAGAGGGGAGAAGTTACACCGAGGGGGAAAAATAGTCAGCAGGAGGAAAACAGAAACATTTATCTGCACATCAAAAGCCTGAGATTTTAAAAAGATCGAAGCTGCCAGGAGAAAGAAAGGGAGTGGGGTGGGGACACTTGGGGAGCACGTTTCATTAAGGGTCCACAGTACTCAAAGCTCCGCTGCGGAGCTCAGTGCCCACTTCGCGCGAACTAGTTGTGGCACTATTCAGACTCCAGAGCACTCCCGAATTGAGCCGTCCTTAGGAGCACTCTCCTTTCCCGATCACAAGATAGGGCAGGATTGTGTATCTGTACCTTCTCCCTCAGCCAAAGTTTAGTATGTCCTTCGGGCTTAGGACTTCAGGAACCTGGGGACGAGGAGACCCTAGGCGCAAAGCTGTGCGGGGCAGAGGACTGAGCCCCAGGTTCCGGGCATCTGCTCTCGGTGGAGGGAGTGGCGATCCGGGCTGGCTCTGGGCCGCAGGTAGGGGGCCTGCCTCCCAACCTGAGGCGATGGAAATAGAACGAAAAGTTTGGGCGAGGCTCTAGGCAAGTGCCAGAGAAGTGGAGGCGAGCTCCCGAGCCGCAAAGCCTGGGCAGGCAGGGACCCTCTCACTCAGCTCCTGCTCCTGGCCACAGCCGTAGCCCAGAGAGAGGGTCGCAGTCACAACCACCACCGCCCCCCACACACACAATCCCCTGCTAGCAGGGAAGCCGGGGGGTTCTTGGGACTGGCCGGGCCGAGCTTCCCAAGGCCTAGGGCCAGCTGTGGGGCGCAGGGTGACCAGCGGCCCGCCCCCTCCCCCAACTGGAGGGAGTCCGGTCCGGTCCCGCACTCCGCCCGCCCCGGGCTCGGCGGCGCCACCGCCGCCACCGCCTCCCCGCGGAGTGACGCGCCCTGCAGCCAACCCGGGTGGCTGGGGGGGCAGGTCCGGGAGGGGTCCTGGGCGGAGTTGGGCCGCCCCCTTATCCCACGAGCTCGGGGGACTTCTCTCCCGAAAACTTCAGCCCTAATTGCCCTGGGAATGTCTGAGGTAGAGAAAGGGAGCGAAGGAGCAAGCGAGAGGCAGGACAATCGGGAACCATGGGGAAGGGAGGGGCGGGGGGTGGGGAGGGTGGCGGGAGATTTGCGCCACCCAAAAGCGAGAGAGCCCCAAACCCATCACGTCCCCAAACCTTTCCTCGATCCTCTTCTCCGCGCCCCCGCGAGCCCGGGATCCAGGGGATGGAGAACTCGGGGCGAGAGCGCCGAGCCAGGCGGCGAGAGCCGGGGAGG